CACACACACACACACACACACACACACACACACACACACACACACTCTTTAAGTTCTAGGGCACATGTACAGACATGTGGGCCAAATAAAAAACGTCAAGACAAATGCTAAAATATTTTGAACTAAATGAAAATGAAAATTTAACAGAATTTTGGAGCTACACCAAAAGCAGTGATAATGGTGAACTTCATACAATTGATTGCATATATTTGTATATACATTGAATTCATAATTAGAACAAAAGAAAAATTAAAATTAATAAAAGCTTCCACCATAGAAAACTAGAAAAAGAAGAGAAAATTAAGTCCAAAGGAAGCCAAAGAAAAGAACTAATAAAAATTAAAGCAGAAATCAATGAAATTATAAATAGGAAATCAAAACAGAAAATCAACAAAACCAAAAGCTGCATCTTTGAAAAGATCCATGAAATCAATAAGCCTCTAGCCAGGCTAACCAAGGAAAAAATAGAGAAACACAAATTATTATCAGAGATATAAGATGGGAAATCACTACAGATCTCATGGACATTAAAGGAATAATAAAGAAATATTATTAACAATGCTATGCCCACAAATTTTATATGAAATGCACCAATTCCTTGAAAAACACAGCCAAGACTCACACAAGAAGAAACAAACTATCTGAAAAGATATATATCATTAAATAAATTGAATCAATATCTAATAATCTCCCAAAATAGAAAGCTCTAGATTCATTGGTGAATTTTACCAAACATTTAAGGAAGAAATCATACCAATTCCCTATGAGAAGATAGAAGCAGAGGAAATATTTTCTGACTCATTCTATAAGCCATTCTCTGTATACCAACACTAAACAAAGACATTACAAAAAAGAAAACTACAGACCAGTATCTCTATAAGTGCAGATGTGAAAACCCTCAACACAGATGTAAAAAGCCTACAGCTAACAGCATACTTAATGATGAGAAACTCTAAGCTTTCCTGCCTTTCTGCTAAGAAAAGAAACAAGGCAGGGGTGTCTCCTTTCACCATTGCTTTTCAGCATTATACATGGAAGCCCAAGCTAATGCAATAAGACAAGAAAATAAAAAGCATGTAGATTAGGAAGGAATAAATGAAAGTGTCCTTATTCATAGATGAACACATAGAATGGGAACTCACTTAGTATCACAAGGACAGAACCAAGTCATTCATGAAGGATCTGCCTCCATGACCCAAACACCTCTCATAGCCTCATCTCCAACAGTGGAAGTCACATTTCAACATGAGATAGAATGGGACAGAACATCCAAACCATATCAATGACAGTAGCTTTTAGATATAAAACCATAGGCATAATTGATGAAAGAAAACATTCGCAAGCTGGACTCCATTAAAATGTAAAACTTCTGCTAATTGAGCAGAGTGTGTAGAGTTGCTAAGCCCACACACTAAATTGAAAATGACACCGGGTTGACAAAGGTCACAACAAGGAAAATGTGTGCTGTTTTTCTTCTCTGTGTACTTTTTTGTTCATTGAAAATACCTGCTTAACACAGAGAAAACTATCACTTAGGTTCTCAAAACCTGAAGCCACACTTCTGCAGCTGCAGCTATCCAGGAGAACAATTGCCCCATCAATAATACTAGGTACTTTTTCCCATAGGACAGAAATCCAACCCAAAATCAAAAACATTGATGAAGGTGATGGTGCAGGCCCTCTACTCCATTGTTAGGCTTATTTGTACCTTTGTCCATTCAACCAACTTCAAAGGAGGAGACATGCATCTTGTCTTCAGACTTATGCTCTATCCAAGTTCTTGATCCCAACCTTCCCATCTTACCTAGAACCTTGCTCCATTCAGTGGTACTGCTTTTTTCCACAATGCTTTCATCTGAAAAGTATCCTTCTCTATCTACCAACCTACCACCCCTACGAAGGGAGCCATCAACAGTGCCAGATATCATAGAAAGGCCAAGTAAAATATCTTTCCTCTCCCCTTGCCTTTATCATCTAATATGATAAAAGAGAAGTTGGCTCCCTGATCCCATGTCCTTACCTGCCATTCTGCCCTATAAACCATCTTCATTTCCCAGTTCTTACAATGTCTGGGGTCCAAGACACTGATGACACTTCTACTTTCTCAAAACTCTTGCTTCCCTTGGCTTATGCCAGCACTATGGCAATTATTTCCTTGTATTTTCTCCCCAACATGGTTTTGCTTCCTCTGCCCCCTCTCTAAAGGTTGTGTTCACTAATTCCATCCTGGGACCTCTTCTCTAATTACACAATGATCCATCCAGGCTCATGCTTTCAACTTCATTAGTTTACTTATTTATTCAACTAATACTGAAAAAATTTAATGTGCCAGACTCTACATGAGGTGCTGGGGACACAGTGGTGGGCAAAAGATGACACAGTTTCTGCTATCATAGATCTTATAGTAGAAATAGATAAGAATAAAATAGTCAGAGAAATAAAGTTAGAACTGTCAAGTACTTGGGAGAAGAAGTGCATGGTGCTGTGTGTAGATGTGGCCTGTGAAGTGAGGAAAGGCTTCTCTAAGCCAAGAGATTCTTGAATTGAGATCTGAAAGACTGGTCATAGATAATCGAGTATGTGTGAGAACAGGAAAGAACTGCGGAGAAGGGAAAGGGATGTTAAAAGAGGAAATAGCAGGAAGAAGCATGGCATCCAAAAGAAGACCAGGATAGCTGGAGTGCAGATAAGCCTGGAAAGTAGGGCTTTGTAGAGAGATTAGGGGTTTTGACTTTATCCTAAGAGCAATAGGAACCTTGAAGAGTTGGGGTTTTTTATGAGGGAAGAGAGTTTGTTGACATACTTATATTTGTGTTTATTTAAATAAAAAATTGTTCTGGCTGCAAAGTGGAGAACACATTAGAGGAAAGCAGTCTATGGAGTCAAAAAAAAAAAAAAAGAAAGAAAGAAAAGGCATCTATGGAGTCCAGAGGGAGAGGCTGCAGTGGTCCAAATGAGAGTTGATGGTGACACTGGAGTGAAAAAGAGAACAGAGAGAAAGAGGTGTATTTGAGAAGAACTTATGAAGAAAATCAACAGGACTTCATGTTGAAGTGATGTGGGAACCAACAGGGAATGAGCTGTTGAAGGTGACTTCTGGGTTTTTAACTTGCACAGCTGGGTAGACGGTGGTGGCATTCACTGAGAAAAGACAAGTTGTGTAAAGATAGGGCATCAGTGTAATTTTAGACATGCTGGGTTCAAAGTGCCTCAACACATCCAAGTAGAAAATTAGAGTGAGCAATCAAATATATGAGTCTGGTGCTCAAAGGAAAGATCTGGGCTGGAAATACAAATTTATGAGCCTTTGTTTTTTTTTTTCTCCCTCATGTTTATTTGTACAAATAGCACAGGAGGACCCCAGCCCCATGCAGATGGCAGCCCCGGGGGGTTGCACCAGTCCTTCTGTCCTCACGTTGGCAGACAGAGGTATCTACTCTGAAGCCTTTGTAGGGGCCTGGGCACCTTTGGGAGCCTGAGCTGAAACTGAAGCTGGAGCTGCAGCCTGGGCCTTGTTTTGATCCTTGGACTTGGCCTTGACTTTTGGCCAGCAGAGCCTGAGCCTCTTGGCAATGCGTGCACGAGCACGCTTCCCAAGCTTGGGGTGGGCAATGTAAGCAAGTCGATCAAGCTTGCGGCTGACACCCCCCTTTGGGATCTTGGGCTTAACCTCCTTGGGCTTTACGAGAGCCTTGATGGCCTCGGCACATGCACTCATGGCCTTGGCATTGTTGGCCTGCATCTTCTTTAGGCCCTTCTTGTTGTGCTTCTTGGCAAAGCACATGTTCCTCAGGAACTTGGCGTCCACCCCCTTAAGAGATTCGTATCTTTGTGATCGGGGTTTCTTGATACCATTTCTGTGCCATTTTCGGGACTGGTTGTGTGTTGTGTGGTTCTTGGACTTGGCCATGTCTGCACCTAAGCCACGGTTCCTGAAGCACCTAGGACCGGAAGCTATGAGCCTTTTTAAAATAGAACTTGAATTTGCGAGTGGAGATAAGATAGAGAAAGAAAACAAAATTGAGAGGAGAAGAGGGTCTATAGCTGAACACCGAAGAAATTTAAAGGCTTAGTAGAGAAAGATGAAACAGCAGAAAGACGTAGAAGAAGCCATTAGAGAGATTCAAGGAAAATCAGTAGAATGTGGTGTTCCAAAAGCCAAAAAAAAACAGTATTTCAGGATGCAGGGAGTGCCAAATGTAGCTGAGAAGATAAGGAAGAGAGAGACTGGAAAATAATCATTGAATACGGAGGAAACTAAGGACTTTACAAAGAGCTATAAAGTGAAGACACTTAAGCATGTTTAAACTCACAGGAAAGGTCTGCTTGTTTGTGGAAAGGAGAATATACAAGCACAAGACAGAGGCAAGACTATCTGAATGTGGTAGGGCTGGGTTCTCCAGCCCTGGTGGAGACATTGGCCTGAGACCAACAGAGGATGTGAGTTACGATAGAAGAAACATAAGATAGAAGGATGGGTTTATATATTTAATGGTGGGAAGTCGATGAGTTCCTGTAAGATCACTTCCAGAGGCAAAGTCATCTGTTGAAATTTCAAGGTTTCAAGAGTGAAGAAGCCTGAACTGTTGTGAAATCTAGCAGGCAGCGTGCTAAGGAAACAGAACAGGATTACCAAGCATTTCATTTGATAGTGAATTGAGAGCTCATTTGAAATTAGTGACGGGAAATTTATTTTGATCAATCAGTCATTTTCACTTTTTTTCATTCTTCTTGCAAATGTTTATTGGGTGGCCCTAGGTAACAGACACTTTTGCAGGCATTATACTGAGTATTGTAGAACTTCTAGCAGGACACAAGGAAGGTCAGTAATTTTTTTCACACAGTGATGGAATTTTACCAAATGTGTGCTTCAGAAAGAGAGCAAAGCATTAACAGAGTTTAAGTGGTGATGAGCTGAGGATTCTAAGCAATTTAGGAAGGAAGTGGGTAGAGAACAGTTAGGGCCAGTGCCCAAAAGAACTAGAAGCATATTTGACGTCTTTAAAAATATAACTCTGTGTCAGTCTTTTAAATCAAGAGCGCTAGCTCTTTATATCAAGAGTGCTAGCTCTTGATTTAAAAGAATATTTGGTCCTAGCAATTGTGTCATCCTAAATAACAGAGAGGGAAATTCTCTAACAAAAGGATATTTATTCAGAAATGGGCATTGCAATAGGAATATGGTTGCCATAGTTTACAATGGAGGTAAAAGAAGACAAAGGTTTTATAAGAAAAAATAAGGAGGATTATATAATAGTTTTGAGATAATTATCCTTGGCTGCAAGGATAAGTAACAAAGGTTGTGTCAGTCCAAGTTGGACAGGCAATTGCTGGACAAATGTCCTCAAATAAGTGTTTTTTTGTGTAAGGTTGCGATGGCCTTTGTGCAAAGCTGTGTTTTTTGCAGAATCTTTTGTAGTGGTTTTGTTATCAAAAACTTATGCATAAGAATCCTCCCTTTATGGCCTTCCTAAGCCATAAAGGTGTTTTTTCAGGTGTTTTTTGTTTTTTTTCCTGGTTAACACACTGACTCCATTTTGGTTCTGATAACTTTCTCATGTCTCCCTTTTGATCAAGATCTTTTTCTGAAAGTATCATCCTGTAGTTAGATTTTGATTGTCCCTTGGTGCCAGGATGTGTCCCATATTGTTGGTCTGGGCCCACATCAGAAGAAGTGATTGGTGAGTAGGAATGTGTATCAAAAGCCTTTTAGCCACATTTGAGCAACAAGGGAGGCTTGGAGGAAATGGCTCTCAGGCTAAGTCTACCTGGAATTTATCGCTACATTCAGTTTTGTCTATTCCACAGTATTTTGGCCATGATCTCAAAGCACTGGGACAGCATTATTCTGTTAAGAGTTGTACTTCTGCAGAAATTTAACAAGCAACAGGTACAAGTTTTAAAAACGAAAATACAAAATAAAATTAATATCAATATGATAAATCCAAGTTTGTATAATGGTTTTGAGCCATGAACCCAGTCTCAAAGACAAACAGTTGAATAAAGCAAATGACCATTGAGAATCAAATAACATCTGCTGTAACCCTGTGACCCATTTTTTAACATTTGTGGATATTGGCCTCCACTTCCCCAGAGAAATCGACCCAGGTATAACATGTAGTATTAGCAGAAGCATAGACTTTTTTTTATTTAAACAATAGATACCTAAGAGGTCAGGTTCTGTGATGAGCAGAAGCTACTGATTGTGAAATCTGAATTACAACATTATCTTGCCAAAGAAAAAGGTAAGCATAAGAAAGGAACAATTAAAAGGGGTAAGAGTCTCATTTTGATGGAGTGTCTTGGGAAAAGCTGCCTGCACCGTGAAGCCATCAGCTTCTCTTGGCTTGCAGTTTGAATGCCTCTGCTATGGCATCAGGTGGGTTGGTGAACTCTCTGTGTGGCACAAGACTCGTCCTTTTTTCAGACATGAGACTTGTCTCTTGAAATTTATATCAAGTTGTTTAGCTTGAGCTTCTAAGGCAGCAAGCACAGAATAGTTTTCGTTCTTAGTTGGAGAGTTGCAGCCAAACATTGAAAATTAGGAGAATTCAGGTTCTAATCCAGTCTACAGGTAGATGACAAGAACTTGAAGACAATGCACAGGGCCATAGCCTAACACCAGGTGCGTTATAGTTTTTTTCTTTAGAAACGTAACCTTTTTCTCTCTATAGTCATCCTTATTTTTACCAAAGATAATTACAGTAAGACTGATTTGTTTGTAAAATAAGTTTAGTTTTATCAAATTTTGCCAGCAAGAATAATGATTTGACCATGTAATACTCTCAGACTTAAAAACTTCTTGAGGGTAGGAAGCCAAACCAAAGCTGACTTCAGACTTTATCCATAGTACCTATAAACAATTTAAATATGACATTTTAGTCAAAACTTTGGTGATAAAACCAATGTTTCTACTTGTATCCCGTAATAAAGAGAACAGATTCTTATCAAACTTAAGTAAACAATTATATGGTCATGAATAGTTTTCAAATTTTGGAGGAATCAGGAAGAAAAAGTAAATGCTTCCATTTTTGTTCACAAATGTTTACTTTACCAAGTGGTTGTAAACAATAGATAGCTTAAGACAAAAAGCTTTCTTCAATCTGGAAGACAAAACATTGAGTAAAGAACCAGCAATGTTTCAGATAAATAGGCTACAAAATTCTTTTTTTCAGTTCATTTAGTTTCATGTAATTTATTTTTGTCCTGTTGGATCTCGGTTAGCAGTTTAATAAATTTATCAGTTTCTTCACTGGAGTTCTGAAAATTTTTATTTAGTACTTAAATGATTTTTATTTTATTATCTAACAACTTGGATCTTAAAATTATTAGAAACTTATATTTAAGACCACTCCTTAGAGTCTTTTCCATGAATCTGATTATGTCTTTAGAAAAGAACCCAAACCAGTACCTGTGGATGAAAATAAGATAGAAAATAACCATGCCTTAAAATCTGATGAAATCAGAAAAATCAAGTGCAAAGCAAAAGTAAATAAATAAAGTTTGATGAAAGTTTATAACCAGAAATTGACAAGGAAATTCGGTTATTTTCATACAACATAATAAGAATTCTGACTTATATATTAGATTTCTAAGAGTTTTATATAATCTTGGAACATTCATATCAATAACATACTCATAAATGTAACTGAAAAAGGATCTAGCATCACTTATCATTTGTCAATGCTTCCCATTTAATTTACTAAATAAACCTAATAATTTAATACCTCTATAGGATGAAAGATACAGTCTTTGAGGCTCTCCAGGGCCCAACTGGAAAATCACAAAGTTAGTTTTCAGTCAGAAAGATTTAATTTAGAACTTGATCCTAGGGAAGTCTTTCAAAAATGTCAAGAGACTGAAAACACTTGATCAAAATTGGATTACAGAAAGACTTCAAAAACAATACAGAAAATTACATGAATATAAAACAAAAATCCTAAACCTTTTCAAAGCTCAGTTTTCCTAAGTAATCAAAAAACGTAATAAAGAACACATGAAGCCCAGGAACTTACAAAAATCTTCGTCTTAGGCCGATGACCAAAAGCGAAAAAAAAAGCTTTCTGCAATGCAATTGCTTCTTATGGGAAGCCTGTTTAAATAACCTGAAAGTCAAACCTGATGAGAAACTACTTGAATTTAATCAGATGCAAGAAGAGTGTGTCTAAGGGTATGAGTTTACGTCATATCATAGAAGTAAACAAGAAAACTACTACCTTGAGCAGAGGAATACATGGCTCTCAGAAAAAGAGAAAGTTTGTGAAATTGCCTGGTTACATGGAACAATTCAAACATATCAAGAAAAGCCAAGAGTACAGAATCAAGTTATACTGGAAGAAAACATTGCTTTTCTAGTCCTTCAAGACAAACATTTGAGCATCAGGCCACAACAGCAGAGCTTAAAGTAGAGAAAAGAGTTTGAGGAGCTGACAAAAAGGTTGAAGAAGAGAGTTATCAACCTAGCCAAGCAAAAGGATGTATCCTCTCGGGGAGGGACAGGAAGAGCAGAAGGCAGTGTTGTATGACTTGCAAATCTGTGCTGCAAGGTACAACAAAAATTGTGCTTCTGAGATATAAATCTTAAAAGCTTCAAGAGGAGAACTTTACCTCAAGAAATGAAATTACCATCCTAAATAGAGAACATAGCACATTTAATTTGAAACTAGGGAAAGTAAATAGAGAAAGTAAAACAGAGGCCAGGCATGGTGGTTCACACGTGTAATCTCAGCACTTTGGGAGGCTGATTGGGGCGGATCACGAGGTCAAGAGATCGAGACCATCCTGGCCAACATGGTGGAACCCCATTTCTACTAAAAATACAAAATACAGAATTATGGTGGTGCATGCCTATAATCCCAGCTACTTGGCAGGCAGGAGAATCTCTTGAGCCCAGGAAGCAGAGGTTGCAGTGAGCCGAGATCACGCCACTGCA